TTTAAAAATTTACTATTAAATTTTACTCAAATAGCTAACTATAGTTACTTATTTTAATAAATGTTTATTTTATTAATTGTTCATTAGTTTTTTACAAATCTAACGAACAATTAATTAAACCAAGCACGAAGAAAAGATATAAAAATTAAGAATATACTAATAAAATATATAATTTGTAATTAACTTTCAAAATTTTGACAATTTAAAAAATATATATTATAAAACATTTATTTTTGTAAACAAATGATAATAGTTTAAAAGTTTTACAGCTTTACAGATGTGGCTCTGAGAATAAGCGAGAATATTAAAGTAATAGTTCATTTGATAATATATTCTTAAAAAAATTTATGCTAGATATCTCAAAACGCAACAAATCTTAAATAATACAGTGCAGGGGCGGAAACCCCGTCAAGTGCTGCAAGTGACGGGGTAAAAAAACAAAAATAAATATAAGTATTATGACGTCTAAAGCCCGCCTAAAGTTAATTACCGATTTATATAATTTTGTTAGAAAATATAATTAGAAAAAGTTTACAGTGAAAACTATGCTTTGCAGACGTTTGAAAAAGTGTTTTATAAAAATTGCTAATATAAACTATACTTTGCAGGGTATTAGAAAATTATTTATAAAACTTGCTAATGTAAACTCTACTTTGCAGGATATGAAAAAATTGGATAAGTTCATTGGTTTACGCTATTAAAAGTAGCAATTTGATTCGTTTAAAAAAAAAAACATGTTTAGTGTAAACTATCCTTTGCAGCATTTGCAGCAGTAATTTGATTGGTTGCAAAGATCGATAAACAATTCAAAAGAACTCAAGGAACTCAATGAACTCAGTTCTGAAAACAAAGTATTTCCTTAAAATTTTAATGTATAAGCATGGCTTACAACTTGATTGACAATGTACTTAAAAGATTTAAAACCGATAATCTTGTCAATTTAAATACTTGTTATGAAACTTTATTGGATACTTTTATTTACAACAATAACAAAATGGAAGTGTTTAACGTGTTAACCTGGAAGTGTTTAAAGTGTTAACCTTAACGAAGGTCTTTTAAGTCGTTTTATTGATGGCAAAATAAGAAGAAATATATGTGTCGAAGTTTGTATCCCTTCTTACTTAAAAGACAATAAAATGCATTGTATTGCTCTAAGGTAAGTCAAATTACTTTTTTTTTCAAAAATAATTATCTTATTTTATTTTATTACAAAATTTAATACTTTTTTGTAAAAATGTTTATTGTTAATACCGTATTAATCTAATCTATAAAAAAATCTCGTTGACTAATCAATATTTAATGTGTCAACACCGTCAAATGATTTTGACATGTATGAATATAATATGTTCATGATGTATGTATTAAATTCCTACATGTCAAAATCGTTTGTTGGTTTGTCTGAATTCTTGACTATTGATTTGATTTATGAATTTGTTTAAAAAGCAAAGATTTTTTACTCAATTTTAAATTTATTGATAAAAGAAGTTTAGCTCTTAAAAACATGAAGTAAATATATTTTTTTTTTCTTAAGGTCTGAAGCATCTGGAAGGTGTATGTACAGCTCTGCATCATTATTTTTTGTTGCTGACAATACACTGATTAGGAGTTTTAACATCCCTTGAAATTTATATACATGCTGATTATTACTGTAAGCATCCTTTATTTTCGAAAAATATTTTCTGATTATAGCTCTCATTTTATTAATCTCAAAAGTTTATTGTGTATGTCAGTATCTCATTCTGCATTAGATTCTGGCTTCGAAAATAATGATATTATTAAAGCTGAAGCAATTGCAAACTGTGAGAGCACAGAAAAATGGGCTGGTTTTTTATGTTTGTTAGGTTTATCATCAGTTCTTTCTTGTAATATTGTTTCCTGTTACCCAGATTTCGGTGTTGAAAAGTATAAAATATTTTTTAACCAAGAGATCTCACCACGTACTCCCATTAAATTTTGTTCCCCGTTTTACAGTTTGTTTTGTTATGATGGGAATTTTAAGTCAGGTACATTTCAGCATAATCACTATGTCCCACTAATTTTTATTCCTAAAAAGCGTAAACTTTCCAGTAAATCAAAAACAATAATTTCGAAAAAATTGCTGCCAGTCTTGTCACCTAATAAATCTATACTATCTGAAGTTCGCAAAAATGTTTTTTTTTCAATAATTGCAGATTTGAAGCCTGTGACTCATCTACTAAAGAGCAAATGTCATTAGTTTTACGATTTGTTGATAGTGATTTCGATATCAGAGAAGACTTTATTCAATTTATTCATTGTAGTGAAGGAGTTAAAGGAATTTGTTTAATGTTCTTTTAAATTGTGTAAGCAACTTAAATCTAGATATAAAAAACTGTAGGGGTCAAGGATATGATGGGGCCAGTGCTGTCTCTGGGTATATAAATGGTCTTTCTGCTCAGGTTCTCAATATAAATTCAAAGGCTTTGTATACACATTGTCATAGCCATCGACTGAACTTATCAGTTTGTGAATCGTGTAATGT